GTATTTCTATAGCAAGTATTGAGGATTTCAGAGTGCTTTACAAATATTACAGTTGTGTGTTTAAACTTGGATGTGCTCACAAATACAGCTGATGGGAGGATTTTAAAGAGGATAACAAAAGCTTTACTAACACCTATAACGAGTTATTCAGTTCCTCTGCCAGACAACTGATTACGAAACTTACAGAGCAGACCTGAAGAATGACTAACTTGCTTATACGTTAGGCTGATATGCCCTGTTATGCTCCTACTGGTACCTACCCCTTTCAAGATCAAAGACAAATATAGGCTTTAGTGTCTTAAATGATTTTGTTCAGGCTAAGGAAAATCTGATACTTTGATTGATGGGTATAGCTATTACCTATTAACCAACTACAAATGAAAAATGTTTGTGATTGTAGATGAAATCTGAAGGAAGGAAAATGAAGAAATCCTGCGAATGATATGAAATTCTGCTTTAACTTTTGGGAGTGAAATCTAGAGGATTTTTTTTCCCTAGAGAAAATTATGGTAGGGTAAATTAGTAATGGAATGATCCTCCTTTACCATTTTCCTTGCCGAAGTATTCCTCGGGTTACGTACAAGATAGGGACTGTAGGTTTGTTCTTAAGTTGAATCTGTATATAAGTCGGAACTGGCGCCCAGATTCAGCCGCTGCTGAAACTGACCAGTAGCTGACTACAGGAAGCCCGAGGCAGAGTTGCTCTTCCCTGGGCTTCCTGGAATCAGCCGCTGATCAGTTTCAGCAGCAGCTGACTTGGGGATGCCTGGGGTAGAGCAGCTGGGGTGCTGCCGGGTTGGTCCCCCCAGCGCTGAGGTGTGGCGCTGCGGGGACCTACCTGGCAGTGCCCCAGCTGCTCTGTCCCAGGCGTCCAGATTCAGCCACTGTTGAAACTGATCAGCGGATGATTCCAGGAAGCCCGGGGCAGAGCAACTCTGCCTCGGGCTTCCTGTAGTCAGCCGCTAGTCAGTTTCAGCAGCGGCTGAATCAGGATGCCTGGGCAGAGCAGCTGGGGAGCTGCTGGGTTGGTGCAGCAGCGCCGAGGAGCAACCCAGCAGCACCCCAGCTGCTCTGCCCCAGGCGTCCCCAAGTCAGCCGCTGCTGAAACTGACCAGTAGCTGACTACAGGAAGCCCGAGGCAGAGTTGCTCTGCCCCGGGCTTCCTGGAATCATCCGCTGATCAGTTTCAACAGTGGCTGAATCTGGACGCCTGGGACAGAGCAGCTGGGGCACTGCCAGGTAGGTCCCCGCAGCGCCACACCTCAGCGCTGAGGGGACCAACCGGCAGCGCCCCAGCTGCTCTACCACAGGCGACCTGAGAAAAGCCTGGTCTGCTGGGGGAGAGGGGGGAGTACTAGCTGCGCCCCCCTCCCCCCAGCAGACCAGGGACACGCGGGCACCAGGACTGAGACGCGCCGCGGTCCCGCCGCCTGGGTCCTCCGCGTCTCCCTGGTCTTCTGGGGGGGACCGCCCAGACGCGCCGCGGTTCCCCCGCCCGGGAGGCATACCTGGGTGGTCGACAAATGCCTTTGATGTCGACACCCACTCATCCAAACTACCGCGCAGAGCCGACAAACAGCTGATCAGCTGTTTGTCGGCTCAGCGCGGCAGCCATGTACATTTAAATGAAGCAGCGATTATTTAAATCGCCGCTTCATTTTCCTATGCCTGGTAGCCTAATCTACATGCCTCTGGCGACAGAGGCATGTAGTCTAGACGTACCCATAGTCAAAAAGCTCAAGAGCAGCAAGTGGGGGAAGAATCACATAAAATCTCTAAAAGAAAAGTAAGGTCTAACTAGCGAAAGGCACTCTTGAATTTGGACCCTTGAAGACCGAAAGCCAGAAAACATTTAGATACATAGAGATAAGAGCCTACCTTATATCCCCTTGGGGGGTGAATCACAGAGATGACAAAATCTGAACATAAAATGCCTGACTAGGTGATAATTATTACATTGCAACTGCAAATTAAAATGCATAACCTTACTGCATTATATTAATTACCTCTTTGAAAAGTAGATAAGGTCTAATGGGACAGCTTGCAAAATCCTCTTTGTAGAGAAATGTGAATTTCTTTCTTTTACAAGCAACTTAGGGGTGAGCATATTGCAAATCTGATTCGCTTGATTCCAAAGATGTGAGAGGAAATAAGGATGCCACTCAATGCTTGTAATGGCTCTGAAATTTACTTGGGTCATTCTATTCATTCTTCCAAGTTTTGGATGTGAGTATAATTTTGTACGAAACATTTAGCAGGAGTGAGAGAAATGAGTGTTTTGTTAGCAGTGTAACTGTGGTTTTCATATCATATATTGTTCAGAGCACTGTGAGGGGCTTAAAGTATAATAAACAAATAATAAAAAAACCTGTCAGTTTCAATCCAGAAATATTTTTCTTTGCAAAAATTCATGAAAATTGATTTAGCTATTGTTAAGTCATTGGAACATACACAAAAAAAATATATTTTCTTTTAATCTTCTTTTCAGGCACACATGCATAAAGCAAGATCCTAAACCCATATATAGACTCCTACATGCCTGAAATCTAGACATTCTAAGTGGGAGTTGCGGGTATGCAGCACCTGTGAAAGTTAGGCTATATACAGTTCTGATTCTGAGAGCATGTTGTCGAATTTAACTGAGGGGAGAGAAAGAGATGCCAAGGGCCTAGTAGTTTAGACAGGCATATAAGATACTTGTCTCATACAGTGCATAGGCCCTGTGCGCAGTCTAACTCTTGTTTATATCCTCATTGGGAAAAAATGTCTCTCGTCCTCTGAAGGCTACCGCACTCCAGGCCATAGCACTGAAGCTGGGGAGAGCATCCTGCAAGGCTGGTTCTCTAATTCCCAGGGACAGGACTGGAAATGGGTTCCACCCTCCATCCAAGGTCTCACATTCTCCCACACAGCTAAACTGGTATAGCTGAACTGGTATAGACCAATAGCAAATTACTTCCCATCTAAAGCAAGGCAAGAATAAAATAACACTGACTTATTGTCCATGGTCTGTCCCTGGACTTTTCATAGAATCATAGAACACTAGAACTGGAAGGGACCTTGAGAGGTCATCGAGTCCAGTCGCCTGCCTTCATGGCAGGACCCAGTACTGTCTAGACCATCCCTGATAGATGTCTATCTAACCTGCTCTTAAATATCTCCAGAGATGGAGATTCCACAACCTCCCTAGGCAACTTATTCCACCCTGACAGTTAAGAAGTTTTTCCTAATGTCCAACCTAAACTTCCTTTGCTGTAGTTTAAGCCCATTGTTTCTTGTCCTATCCTCAGAGTCTAAGAAGAACAAGTTTTTTCCTAATTTTTTTGAAGTGACAGTCTAGCCATTTGTATTTTGTGGTCACTTTTGAGAATCGTTACTTCTCACAAACATTACATGCACAAAATTATTTTTAATTGCCACTCCCATCAACATGGTAGTGTGACAGAGCTTAATTAAATTCATCATTGTTTTGGAAAAAATATTTATGTACCTAATTCCAAAATGAGGCTAACACTGCCTTAGGAGAGAATTAGACTCCCTTGTGTTACTTTCGCTCTTCAGAATTCTATGCCATGTCATAACACCTGATTTCCCATGACACTTTTATAATTGCCAGTTTAAAGTACATATGTTTTGTGAATAAAAGTGAAGAAATATTTCAAAATAATTATTCAGCAAAGCTAACTGAAAGAAAAACTCATTTCTTTATCAGACTTGGCCTAAGCAATGGTCTTTTTTTATTAAACCTGTGCTTAAAGCTGCTTGAAGAAATTGTATAATTACTGAAACTCAAACCCCAGGGAGCAGGAAAACAGCAATAATCTCTTAGCAAAATAAAATAAAATTCAGATGATTTAGACTCAGAGGACCTGGGTAGAGTTTCTCAGTCAGCTGCAAGCTTCCCATGAGATATTGGGAAAGTCATGTTAGAGCCAGATTTTGATAACCTGGTTCATAATAAGTTGCATTGCACTCTTCATTGATTTTACAGGGACTACTTGTGAAGAAAAGTACTAATTTTCCACGTGAAGATCTGGTCTTTAATCTCACTCTGCCTTCTTTTCTCACCTGTAAAAAGAGACACTAATTTTTGTGTATAGATTAGATATTATAATGATAGTGATCATGACCTGATCCAACAAAGTGCTCGACTTTAAGCACAAGTAGTCCCATTGAAGTCAATGGCCCATATACTTACATATTAATCTTTTTATGGTCAACCTTATGAAAAAAATCTAATTAGTGTGTGTAGGATCTAAATGTTGTGGTAGTGGATGATTTAGAAATGACTATGATAGAATAAAATAGCAATTAGTTCCACTTCTAACAGAAATAATCCCACTAGACTGGTTGTGTTGATAAAATGGGGAACTGCAGCTCTTATACAAAAGAGGGAGAAAAGGTGAAGTTAAGATTGTCATGAAATAGGGCAATGAAAGATGTAATTGCTTATTAAGAAATATTCATCCCCAGCATTCTAAATGTGTCGTCCTGTTTTATTACTATTCATTATATCTACATATATCAGCAGTGCATTAATTAGCATACTAATTATATTCTCTATCACACAATATACAACATATTCGGAAGTTTCAATACACATTCTTTTCTGAAATCTACAATCAAAGAAATCAGTTAATTATTTTTTAATATAGGATTTAAAAATCTAACTTAGCATGCACATTAAACCAGATCTGATCAACCTTGAACTTTGCAGTATTCAAAATCCAGATATGAACATTGATGCTTGAGCTTACTTTAAGAATGAAAATATCCACCTTTTCTCATTCATGCAGCATCTGTAGTGGGGAAGAGCCAGATGGCTAACAGAAAGTAATAAAAGCAATAAAAGATAGATATATTAGCCCTACTGCGAACAAATCTTTGTTGTCATGACAACCAAGCAACAGTTATTTCAGGTTAATAAGACACCTGGGGTCAATTAAGAATCCCAGAACTCGTTTGAGACACTTACATTGATTATGATGCCTGGAGACAATCTAGAACCTGCTAGAACCCGTTGAGACAGTTAGGCTTGACTGGGACACCTGGAGCCAATCAAGAACCAGCTGGAACTGGTTAAAAGCCTCTCCTTACTAAAGTTTAATGGTATGTCAGCAATGGTGGGAGGAGGATATGCTGCTGGAGAACAGTAACTGTAGAGATGCTGTCAGGTATTAGGAGATACAGAGGCAAGGGGCAGAGAAAACCTTGTTCAGGGAATAGCCCCTTCAGGCCCCAGAAGTCCAAGGAAGAAAAATCTCTGTTAGAGGGGGAAAGACTGTTATAAGAAATCTCATCTGTTGCTTCCATATCCTACAGACTAGGAAATTTTTCCACTTCCTTTTTTCCCGTTACACCAATGATGACAGTGGATAAATTAGAGTTTTGCTTGCCCCTAACATGAAGTAAAGGGGTTAGACTGAGTGCTGTAGTCAGCCACTAATGTGAGAAATTAGACAGTGAGTTGCTGTTTCCTGCCAGACAGGGAAAGATAATATTCAATCGCCTGCTGTCTAGGAATGCAGGACCCACTGTGTGGAATTAGCTTCGTCACACCTCCCTTTGCTGATATTCAAGCTGTAGGTCTAGGTCTTCATTACTTATTGTTAGTATTCAAATGAAACTAGAGTGCTGTTGAAATGCAATACATATTAAACTGATTATTTTATATCCCAACAGTTTCAGGGTTAAAGCCTGGAATTTTTATATGCTTAATCTGATATGACATGATGGGGAAAAAATAAATATTCTGGGACAGAAATGTGTCAACTTTTTCCTGGGCAGTGCTATAAGCAGTATACATGGATTTGCAGTTTTCTAGACAGAATAAAGTATACTGCTAGTCAAAACATATTACAATACATAGGTCATACAGGATAATATGAAATGGCCACAGGCATCTCCATAACATACTTTCAACACAATTTGTTTGGTAGATATGCCAGTGATACTGTGGCAGTATTTGATTCATTTGTCTTCCAGCTTGTTAGTGTTATACTTAAGAGGATAATGAGAAGCAGAGAATGATTATTATGAAACATAAAAAGTATAATTTAAATTCATCTCCAGTATATAATCAGTAATTTAGATATATTGCAACTATATCCTTGATATTGCTGGCACTTTGATACCCAATGCTACCTTTCTGCATCAGTAGAGTTGTACTGACATCAGCAGTTTGTCTACTGTGTAGCAGATGACTTTTCCTCTCCAAATTGGTCAGTTGCACTGGTGGGTCCTTCTTTTATGCATTGCTTTTGTCCATCTCTCCTGAGAATGCCTTTATAAATCTATGTTGCGAGAACTGACTTTTCTAAAAGAAACTCTGCTGGAAGGTATATTTATGGAAGGACAGTGATCCTCAGCTTTAGAGACTTGGAAAACCACTTTATCCAATGGAGTTATTGAAAGCCAGAAAAAAAATGTCACCGTTCTCTTGTGGTCCTCTGTCACTTAATTAAATAAAATACCTACTCTTTTCTCCCAGCAGCACTCTACTGGCTGCTGAGAGGCATGTTCACTGGTTGAGAGGTGAAATTATTACATTTACTTAAGAAATAACTAGCAGGTCACCAGAAAGTACCCAGACCCTATAACAACTTCTATGCAGACAATTTACTAGGAAAATTTGTTCTTGAAATGTTGCAATAATGTTACATTGCAATCACTCCTGCACTCTCCCAGAGAATGGAAGAAAAGAGAGTTTATCTGTTTTCTTCCATCCTCTGGGTAAAGGAACAAAGAAATAAACAAAGGAAATGTCAGAAAAATGTCCCCTATTCCTCATTCCCCATCCAAATAGTTAAAATCAGAGCATATGATGTGTGCTGTATAAAATGTTTGTACTTTTAAGAACAAAAAATAATTTTCCACCTCTGTTCTACATTTCATATGTGAAATATCTTTGCTCAGAAATATGTGCAAGTTAGTAAGAACAAGATCAAATTAATCCTCAGATACATATTTTAAGTATATTTTCAAGTAAATTAAATAACAAAATTAGGGAAATTATGATTTACCAAAGCAGCACATATTTTGTTCTTATATTAGAGGTGATGCCATCTCTGGGCTTCATATAGAGGCTTGTGCCTTTGACGTTGGCCAAGAAATCTCTCTTGGTGACTAGCCGTCCAACTGCTAAATTCTGTGTAGTTCACTGAATATGTCAGCACTCTAGTGGTTAAAACTAATATATGATCACCCAAATACAGGTGTTAGGCAACCAGTTTGGGCATCATTACTTAACAAGGTGTGATGTGCATAGCAGCCAGAGGATGCACGTTTCAGCTAAAGTATTTATCTCTTTTGCCCTCCAAAGAACTACTACCTAATTAATTGCAACAGCTTAATACATATTTGCCCGTCTGCATCATTGTACGACAGGCTTTCTGCATGGGATGGAGAACAACCTCATCAAGAAAATGTTCCAGATACTCTGGTTAGAGCTGAATATAATGTGATGGTTTACTGAACTCGGGTTTCAAGTATCAGAGGGGTATCCATGTTAGTCTGGATCTGCAAAAGCGACGAGTCCTTATAGATTAACAGATGTATTGGAGCATAAGCTTTCATGGGCAAAGACCCACTTTGTCAGATGCATGTATTGGAAATATCCAGAGGCAGGTATAAACATGCAGGCCAGAATCAGGCTAGAGATAACAAGGTTAATTCAATCAGGGAGGATGAGGCCCACTTCTAGCAGGTGATCTGGAGGTGTGAATATCAAGAGAGGAGAAGCTGCTTTTGTAGTTAGCTAGCCATTCACAGTGGCTACATCTAGATTTCATCCCTTTTTCGTAAAAGAGATGTAAATTAGACGTATCGTAATTGCTAATGAAGCGGGGATTTAAATCTCTCCTCTTAAAATAAGGGATAAGGGATCTTTCGGAAAAGGCTTTATTTTCCAAAAGATCCACATCTAGACTGGCGCTTTTTTCCGGCAAAGCTCCGTGCCGAAAAAAAGCAGCAGCCATTTAAATCCCCGCTTCATTAGCAATTGCGATACATCTAATTTGCATCCCTTTTATGAAAAAGGGATGCAATCTAGACGTAGCCAGTCTGTTTAATCCTGAGCTGATGGAGTCAAATTTGCAGATGAACTGTAGCTCAGCAGTTTCTCTTTGAAGTCTGGTCTTGAATTTTTTTGCTGCAGGATGGCTACCTTTAGATCTGCTATTGTGTGTCCAGGGAGACTGAAGTGTTATCCTACAGGTTTTTGTATATTGCCATCCCTAATATCTGATTTGTGTTCATTCATTCTTTTACGTAGGGACTGTCTAGTTTGGCTGATGTATATAGCAAAGGGGCATTGTTGGCACATGATGGCATATATTACATTGGTAGATATGCAGATGAATGAACCAGTGATGGTGTGGCTGTTCTGGTTAGGTCCTGTGATGGTGTTGCTGGTGTAGATATGTGGGCAGAGTAGGCACCAAGGTTTGTTGCATGGATTGGTTCCTGAGTTAGAGTTAAAACTAGAGTTTGTGATGGTTTACTGAACTTATTGCTTTGCTAATTTGAGACTGTCTATGTTTGGCCGAGAAATAGCGGTAGATACTTTATTTTAAAATACAAGTATTAAGGTGTTTGTCATGAATCATAAATGGCCAGAGTAATTAGTTTACATGTTCATGACTGCCTTTTGCATTTTTTTATTCTTGCATTTTACTACTCATCCTTAGCATTTGTTTTATAAAATTTATATTTTCAATTGCATTTTTTCCTCTTTCCAATTTGAAACTGAAAGAAAGGAAGAAAGAAAGAAAGATATATGGCTAATATTTTACTTCAAAGTGCTATGAGAGTGGTACCCATGGTTCTATTTATGATAGAAAGGAGACAGAGCCATTTGGAAAGTAGTGGTATATTCATTTTAGCAGTGTTGTCTTCAAGTCGTCATTGTCAAGTCCAAGTCAATTCTCAAGTCACTACAGTTCAAGTCTCAAGTCGAGTCTCGAGTCCCTAAAGTCACTTGCGAGTCAAGTCCCAAGTCGAGTCTCAAGTCTTAATTTAAAAAATGTCAAGTCACTTTTGTACAAGCCATCAATATTGGCATTTTCGGACAATTTTTTCACCAAGTCGATTGAACAAAATCAGCAAGTCTCAAGTCGAGTCTCAAGTCAAATCACCTAGGCGACTTAAGTTGGACTCGAGTTCATCATGGGACTTGAGTCAACAACTCTGCATTTTAGTAAATGTGTCATTCATAGTCCAGTCTTATATTTCTTACTGAGGCTACATCTAGACTGAAGAGATCTTCCAAAAAAGCTTCTTCTGAAACAGAGCATCCACACTGCCAAAGCGCGTTGAAAAAGTGATTTGCTTTTTTGAAAGATAGCATCCATTCTGTGTAGATGCTATCTCGCATTTTAGCTGTGATTACTATGGATAGAGTGGTCACCAGGGCACCTGTGCTTTTCCTTTTTCCTCTTCTTTTGAAAGAACTCCCTCTTTCCCGTCCACACATGCCTTTTTCCGATAGAGCTCTTTCAGAAAAAGGCTTCTTCCTCGTAGAGAGGTTTACCAATGTCAGAAAAAACCCGCTGTCCTTTTGATTTTTTTTGAAAGAACGTGATTGCAGAGTGCACGTAAGTGAAGTTTTTTCTAAAAAACTCTATAGTATTGACATAACCTCAGAGAAAACTTCCTTCAATTTTCTCTATAGAGAAGGCAAGCTCAGGCCCTAATATAACTATTTTTAATGTATGATTATTGGAGGTTACTGCTTCATAGAATTTGCTGGATTTTTTTCTTTTACACTGCTATGACACAGTGGCCAGTAACAATGTATGTCATTTTGAAAGATGTCAAGGCCTGTTGTCTCTGACAAATTATATTTATATACCAAAGGCATTTTCCAAATATAGAACAGCTCAAAGAAGCTTCCACTGCTGTTATTTTATAGAAGGTGACCTTAGTCGGATCATGATTTTATTTTAATCATTAATAGTGATAGAAATTAATTGACACTGAAAAATATAGTGAAACTGACAGATCCAGTGAGGGAATTCACCGTTCGGATTGTTCACATTACTTTAAATATTTCCACATTTTTCTTGATAAAATATCAGCACTCAGATATGGCTGACAGATCACTTAATACA